TGGGTCTATAATTAATGGGAAAATTTTTTATCACCTCCCTTGAAAAAGAGGAGTTACATTAGCTAACTTCCAATCCTCTGGTACCTGCCCACTATTCAAGGACTGAAAAAAATAGCAGTAAGTGGCTCACATATCCAATCTTTAACCTCCTTCAAAACCCTTGAGGAAATATCTGGCCCAGGAGCCTTATCATTCTTTACACTTCCCATTTTTTTCTTAACCAGCTCAGAATTAATACAGTTATCTTGTTTGGTCTCAGTAAAAACTGAATAAAAAGCAAAATTTAATAACCCAGCCATCTCATAATCATCAGATACAAGCCTTCCTTTATCATGCCTCAAGGGCCCTACCCCCATCCTAATATTTTATTTACCCTTAATGTATCTGAAGAAATCCGTACATTTTCAGCCAACCTTTTTTTCATCCATTTTTTTTACCAACTTTCTTCATCTTCTAAATCTCCCATCATACCAGTCAAAATTTGGACAGATGTTTACTGTTAGGATTGCTTTAGCTTTAAGTTTTTTTTAAATACAATAGATTATCCAGTAAGGCTACTTATATCATTTCAAGCTCAAAATTAACTGGGAACAAGCAGTTGGAGCCAGGAAACGTACATAGACACAACTGTTTTAGAAAGCATATCAGTTTCGCCTTGTCCACTTGAATGTTTGCAAATATATTTTGCTTGGGAGTTTTTGAAGCTTATAAAAGTGTAATGACTATAGTGTAAGTTAGAAAGCAACATTTGCTTACTAATATAACTGTCATATTCTATAAAATTCAAAATTTTCTTCAATGGGTATTAAAAAAATAAGAGATTGTTAGTTACATTTATTCTGTCCCAGAATTGAATCTTAACCATATAACTTAATAATTGATCAGCAAAACTATAAAAATATGTTTGAAAATAATTGTTTTCTCCGATTGTTTTTATACAAGATGACTGAAGCATATGCCTTGGATCTTTGACTTCTTGTTGAGGTTTAGCATCATTATCCAATAACTTTTGAAAGTACAGATACTTTAATTTTTGTTCATTTAATAGTTTTATGAATTTGGATAACTAAATTTTTTTGTTTCTCTCAAGGTTCAAAACCTAACACTATAAGAATTTTTATAGATTTCTAATGCATTCTACACATTCAGTGTATGTAATAGGATTGTATCAATCAAAAGTTTTTAAAATAAAATACATTTGTCTCATTACTGATGCTACATCACTAAACTTTATCCAGCACCATCTTTTTTAGATCTAACTTTCAGTAATTCAATTTTAACACCTAATTTAGTCACATTAGATTTCTGACTTGTCCCTTTCCTTGTATAAATATATCCAAGTGAACAAGCAGGAGCAGTAGCAAATGGAACGGTTGAATTGAATGGATAAATAACACTGGACAACAATAATAAAAAATCTTCTCTGTTACTAGAAAAAATTCAACTGCTGAAAACTACTGATCACCTCTAGTTTTCAAGTTATGATAGATTTATTCAAAATATTCTTATATGTTGTGAAAATAACTTTTTATTTAATAACTTTATTTATTCATTGAAAATTGCATTCAATAACGTATTATCTACATGCTTTGATAAGTTTCTTTCATGTTCACAGCGTGAGCAACAGGAATCGATGGCTTAGTGTTCCCATTGTGCAAAAGTAGATCTTTAATACTGACTTTAGATGAGTCGATAAAAAGTTTCCATTCTTGAGGATGATGTTCAGTGCCTAATTCTTTCATTATTACACCAACATTTGTACAGAAACACAGAGTATTTTGCATGCTGTAGTGAGAAGCAAGACTTTGGTAAATTGAAAGTCTTGTTCCTGGAGCTAATAACTTTCATTGCTGTAAACAAGAGCCAAATTCTACAAGCTGCTTTGATAGAGACAAGTCATGAATCAGATTATTTAGCTATTCTTGTGTGATCAGATGAGGCAACTTATGTTCAGGTGCCACAGGAATAGAATTACTAGATGAAGAGGATTCATTGTCTTCTTTGCAGGATAATTCTTCTGTTTCCCAGTTCGCTGGTGGATGTGGCACTGGAAGGCCATCTCCATGAAGTGTTGGTTTCATTGCAGATGCAATATCTGGATATTTAATGTATTGTTTAGTTTGTCTGAGTATCCAGAAACATTAGTCATGCAAAAATAACAGTCAGTTAGATGATCTTTTGGCTCATGCCATATCATGGGAACTACAATTGACATTCTTGTTCTCTTTTTATTCAGCCACTGTCAAGCCAGATGTGCAAACCATACAACACACACACATGTGGAGCCAATATTTTTCTTTGTCACAAATTCTACACCCAAAATATTGGTAGTAACCTACCTTTATCTTGTATGTGATGTTTATCCTTTGTGAAACTGTAATATATTTTCCATAAATGTAGCAGAAACTGTTTGGGTGGTTTTTGCACTATCAGACTTTACTTGAAGTGGAGACAGCCAGAATTTCAAATGATTCTCTAAAAAAATATAAAATAACTTATGTTTATAGAACTACAATTTAAAAGACCTTAAGAAACAAAGTTTTGTAGAATTTAATTATATTGTGGGTATGATACTAGGAAGATCAGACTTTGTTTTGACTGTGCACATTGCAAGGTGAAGTGACCAACTGAGTGAGTGAGAGGCATCTGACTCACACCTTTTATGCTCAGTTGAGGGATTTCTCAAGCACCACCAAATTGCCCCCTAACACTTGAGATTTCTCCAGTAGCCAATTTTTTGTTGTCCTGTGTAATAGTTTTTTTATTAGTATGCTAAAGGTTATTAATAATAGATTTTTACAACTTTCTTTTTCACTAAAAAATGGTAGTCAAAATATAATACTTTATTAGAATATCTCTTGTTATAGTATTTCTTATTGATAAAATTTAAATTTTTTCTTCTATAATTTGCACTTAACTTTGGTGACATGTCTAATCACAAAAAATTATATTAACAGTTTCACTAAAAACTTTTTATTTTTCAATGATTATCTTTGAGTAAGGTGGTCAGTAAAATATTGTTAGTGTAACAGTCTAAAAGGTGTGTAATACTTTTAAACTAAGTGGTATGTTTCAAAGGGTGCATTTATTAGCATAGCTGCTCTATAGAAGATATGTAGACTTGAGCATCCTTTCTTGCACTCAGTGTAAAGCACTCCAAAGTCCCAATATGGCAGCTTCTGTTTATGTTCTTGCTGTTGTGACTGATTTTATTTGCTAGAAAATGTTTTCTATATAATTTATTAAAAACATGTGTTATTTAGCTGGTCAAGGAAGGCTTCAGTTTCCATAACTACATATATCATATTACAACCATAAGTTATAAAACTGCAATGCCCCAAATATTACTAAGAGTGAGGATACCCATCTGATAAATAATTGCATTAAAATCTTTATCTGTTTTTAACTTACGATATTGCATACTCCTAATTAGAATGGTATATAAAATTGGCTGCATTAATTGTTAGTTCAGATCTATGTAGGTAGGTTTCTTTGATGAGAAGTTAATGATAATGACTACTGAATTCATAAACCACCACTAGAGTGGCTATACAGGAACTAAACCACTCTTGGAAGCTGTGCCTTAGTGTTGAATGCACCCAATGTTACATGTTATGATACATTTTATAAAACATTAAAATGAAAACAAAAAGACTCTCTGACCTTGTAGGATTACTGATGACAATGGTATGCTAGACTACCATAACCTTGTAAGATTGTTAGACTGGGAAAAGAATCCATCAGCTACAACAGTCAGTGTACATCCACAGGTAAGAAAGAATTTGCCTATTCATGTATTTATTGGGAAAAGCCACTACAAACCCAATATTAAAATGTTTTTGTTCTATTAACCCATTAACTGCAGCAGGAGCAGCTCAGTTGCCATTTTCTGACTCACAGATAAAACTGAGTTGCCATCAGTCACAATAAAACGGTAATTTTCATCATTCGCATAGAGTTATAGTTATATCCGTCATCCGCAGTTAATGGGTTAAGATCTGTTTAACCAAATAAATTATATAATATATATATATATATTGTGAAGCTAGATTTAGTGAAACTTAGAAGTTTCATAACAACAGAACTGTTTTCAAAATTAAGTTTTTATTTTAAGTTATACGATTTTTTATTTAATTCTCAGATTATTCAACAAAGATGTCAAAAGATACAGTTTCAGAAATATGAAAGTTATCAATAAAGAAGTACATGTAGATTTGAATAGATTTCTAGGTCCTTAAATTTTTCATTTAGCTGAAATTACCACATTTTGTTGAACTTTTACAACATTTTAAATCAACTGTAGCACCAATTCTGATCTGGTTTACAGATTATTTTTTTTCAGCTAATCTTGGTAACACTTATTAGACATATTTTGTGATGGTAGTCTTAGAATGTTGTTAAGACATTTTACAAATGGTCAAACTGGAACACACCACCAATAATAATATATTAAAATTACCAAATGTAAAATGCTTGAAATGAAGACGATATTTGTTTGAGCAACCGTATTTACATTTGGTCACATCAGAAGCTAGTTTATGAGAAATTTGATATGTAACTTTTGGTAGCAAGTTTTTGGACATAGAATTGGATTATGAATTGCTATTTTCAGATATAGGTATAAAGATGAAAGATTATATTTCAGACATAATTTAAGAAAAATATCACAACTGTTGATGTTACCTTGGGTGGAAATACTAGTTATAAAGTTATCAGTGCTCATATGGTTTATATATGTGAAAATAACTGTAAACAGTAATAAACACATTTAAGTTAGCTACTAAGTGCAAAGTTAACTTTACATTAAACGTTTTTTTTATTGCAGTTTGAGAGGAAACTGAGGTGCATCACCCAGTCTGAAATGAAGATTGATTACAAGTCTTTGATTGGTGTTAAAAAAGGAAATGAAGATTGATTACAAGTGGATAAAAATGAGTGACATAAAATTAATTTGTATATTTAATTGGGTTTAATATACATATGTGTATACATATCATCTTCATGAATGTTTTTGGGTTAATGTAAGTTACAGATTTTTATTTAAAAATGTCATTATAGTTAAATTTTTATCAGGAGAAACACATTGAGGTATATTTTAATTCAGTGAATAAATTATATTATTTTCCTTCTGAATGATAAAAATACCCATTTTAAATTATCGTTACAAGTGATATTAGGTTGAAATTCTAGTTGTTTGTGTATCAGAGTATTATTTCATGAATAGTTTTGCATTCAACAGATGTAAGTTTTCAGATACTTCTTTATATACACTCAATTAGTGATGAAATCAGAGTTTGAAAATTTTTTTTAATGAATAACTGCAAAACATATCTGCTTCAGACAAAGTTATAAGTTTATTTTATACAGGAATTATTTAAAATTGTTTTAATCATTACAGATAATATATTAAATGTTAAGCTTCATACTTTATTTATTTAAATGATATTAACTTAATTACCAAAAAAAAATAAGGATGTTACCAAAAATGTAAAAAAGTTGTTTTTCTCTTGTATGCTCTATTAGAATCTTGTTTTTTTGTTCAATATGCAATGTTTTCTAAATTTCATGCATCTGTACAAAACTTCTCAGTTCTTTAACAATACTATTATTCTTATACCAGGGAGGAATAAAAAATTATTTGGACAAAAAATGAGAGTTATGGAAAGAGTAAACAGAAAAATGTAAAGTGATTTACAGTTAACTGCAGTGTGTAACTGTAGAGACGAATTATAACTGCTGCACCTTCTTTTCTACAAGTGATCTAAAAAATGCATGTTTCTCTAGGCACTCAAGTATTTGCAGACTGGACTACAGTTGGTATTTTATGAATAATGTAGGGGAAAATTTGTCACCCTAATGTGCATGTTACAGTTTTAACGTTACTGAACTTAAAAATTTTGGTATCTGCTAATTAATTAGCATTCTTTTTTATTATTCTAGAAAGCCTGTATTTAAAGATTAACTATTGTAATAAAGATACTAATTTAGCCACAAATGTTTTGCGTGTCTTTGCTAGTACTTACAGTACAATTGTAATAATTAGATATCAGTCACTGTCATGGCTACTTGCCTATATGATCACCTAAGCCTAATTATTAACCTTTTTTTAATATAATTAGATATTAATTATTAAAACTAGTTTGTAGTTAGTACCTTTAGTACCTTGTTATAAAAATAATTAATTAATAATTAGACTTAGGTAATCATAGAGATTAGTAACCATGACAGTGAAATTTCATTGGAAGAACAGTGTCTTTTAGTTTGAATGAACAAACTGAATTTCTATTACTAAAATGTTTATTTAATTTGTACTCACTCTGATTATACACAGTTTTGTGTAAGACTATTTTTCCTGGTATTAAAGATTCTTATCTTGTTTTTCTTCCAGAATTACCATTTCAAATCATTGTTCATGGCATGCACACACTCTAACACAGTAAACAGACTGTGTCAATTAGTCAATATTGTGTTCACACAATGAAAAAAAAGTTTATGTTTATTAATAACTAATATTTCATGATAGAAATTAGAAAATTTCTATTTCAGAACAACGTTAGCAAAACATGAGTTAGAGATACAATGGAAAATAGTTTAGTTCTTCTCTAAGAAATAATGTCAAGGGGAAAAATAAAATTAAAATATAGTGGTGTTTCATTGAAGTTACAGAAATGGTAAGTTATATCACAAATAATGAAGAATCAGTACCTTACTACAAATTTTATTTCCAAAGATCAAATATACTGATTGACAACACAAACAAAATACCAGATAAATCCTTATAAATTTGTGGAAGGTTCTGGTGTTGACATTGTTTCTTCAAAAAATTTATTCTGTACAATGTAATGTACACATTGGAAAATTATATTTCTCTCGTGACGAATTTCTTTGGCCAGGAGCTATAAAAAAGAAACAATTTATAGGTATACATTTTTTGCTTCAGTAATTTTTGTTCAAGTGTACGAAGTGTTTATTGATGAAACTTGTTATGGACTTAAAGTTTGTATAGATTTACAAAAAACAACAAATACTTGGGAAAAATAACACCATTAATGACAACATAACACATCAGCAATACATTTTTAAAAGTTAGAATACTTTTACAGCAAAAGATAAAATCCAGCTGTTTCACTAATAGTAGCAAAATATAACACAATCATTGGTATACACTACAATTAAAACTGCAAGAAACACTAAATAAAAACAATGTAGCTGAAAAGATTTGATTTTTGTCAACAACAGTTGCACCCATTCCACATTATATTCATTTTCAAACTGAATATATATAGAAATAGGAAATAAAAATGTCCTTTGTTTTAACTGAATTTTGGGCTTTTCAGAGAAAATTTTTAGTAATCAAAAGTTGTCAAATTAGGTCTAAAAAAGCACCATAGCCATAAACCTACATCAATGATTGTGTGTCAGGGGATTTCATATGAAATGCCACTAAACCGTAGCTAGGATTTTTGCAGTAAAATATCTAAGAATTAAGGTTTTAAAGAGTACAAGAAGTTAATATTTGAAATTTTATTGGATGGCTGTATATCATGGATCAATCAAGCATAATTACACTTGTAATAATGTAGAGAACTTTCACTTCAAAACCAAGCCATTTACTGTGAAATGGGCAAATGGTATATTTCAATAAAAAATGTATATTTAGACCTAAACATTTCTTTTGTTTAAAAAGCAAACAATAATAAGTAACAGATGAGCTAAAAGGGGAAATACAATAAACGGTTTAGTTGAATAATAATCTTTTTTTTTCCATAAAAATACAAAATAAAATTTGATTTTTCAAAAACTTTGATATATGAATTTGCCAAATATTGTTTTGCACATTCTTATGCAAATACATGATGCCGAGTGATATTTCTGTAATGGAAAGCAAACAACATGATACATATTTGGCTTAACTGTAACTAACTATATCAGAAAATAAGAGATATAAGACAACAACAGGAAAAGTAGTTATTAGGGATGGCGGCTGAGAGAAGTTGAATTGACTGAAAACACTCAGGAAGGAGATATAGGGTAGGTGAGCACCTAAAGCACTCACAAAATAGGTTAGGGGTATGGGGACCACCTAGACCCCCACTGGGGTTCAAGTGCAATGCTCCAATGGGGGTTTTAAAGGAGGTTTCATCCCTTTGAAGCTGAACAGCTTTTACACTCAGAAATGCAATCAAAGCCATTATCTGGAGCCTAATGCTCAGAGAAATGTGTTGTAAATAGATCAAATACATCTACTAAATTATTCATGAAGGAATACTTTGGCTAATGAGATGTAATAAACATAATTGAAACACATGATATCAGGCTTCCAGTATTCTTTATTCTGTATCCAAATGGAAACAAAATTCTTGTAATAATTTTATATTGTTGTTCTACTAGTCATATCAAGTCACTCATATTTCTCTGTAGATACAGTTATGAAGAAAGTTGATATTTTAAGGATAAAAATCAGCTAACTGTGAACACATCATGTAGGCATGAAATTCACTTTTGCAAAAGTTTTCCAATATAATTCTATTGGCATCAAGACCTTATAGGCCATGATGTGATGCATAACTTCACTTTGGAAAATCACCGATCAACTACATTATTAATTAATATACATGCTGGTCTACAATATATCCGAGTTTTTCTGAACTTGCATATCAGCAAATGTGAGTTTGAATCTTTCAAAGTAAGCATAATTTGTAGTGGCCATTTGTCTAATAGTTTTGGGTAATGAAATTAAGAAATCAGATTTTTGTTTTACCAATTGGATTTGTTTCATTTGATGAAAATCTGTCTTGAGAGAGAAATCTGCCTTCTCTGAGTTATTTATAGCTTAATGCTCACACAGGAAAATGTTGATAACTTGTTTTATGCCTATTGTGAAACTATTCATGTAGTTGCATGCTACTTAAAACTACCAGTACTCAGTGAAAAGATGTAAATCAATAACAAATACTTTAAAATTAAAATAAGAGGAAATCCTCAATAGCACAGAACTTGAAATTCTTTTAGGCAGGATTAGAGTAAAATAATCTACGAGACCTTGGGCATTGCTAAATACATCAATCGAAAGGGTTTGACCTCCTGAGTCCAAAACTGTAATTAGATCTCAAATCGATCAAGAGATGACAGAGCTATGAGCTAAAAGTTTTTACTTGAACAAAAACTCAGAGTCATTCTATGAGCTGCTATGCCGTGGCTAAAAACAAGGAAGTTTGGATCTAAATGAACCTCTAAAAATTAATACTTGATGTTTACTTGTAGAATGTGCATATTAAAAGTAATATTTTGTTGATACTGTATTCAAATATTTTGAAATTCATGAATGCTTCTGATAATAACTTACCACATGCCATGGTAAACTTCAAGGGCTGCAATAATTTATCTTACAGTCCTTAAGACAAAACCTTTTTTCAAGTTGCTAGTTATTTTAGTAATACATCACTGTTCTCATTAAAAGGTATTTATAACCATGCATCAGAATGAAATTGTCATTGTTGTCAATAAAATTCTTCAATTGGGGTCATGCGAGACCAATAAACTTATAATAATGCCACTATAAAACTGTTGAAGTTAGAGCCTGTCTAAAGAAATATTAATATATATATACTTATTTTATATATCAGCACTTGCAATTTTGAATATATTTTTATATTATGGCCTATAACTACAGTTATGGTGACTTTATCCAGGATTAAGAATAAAAACATTATCATAAGTTCTTACTCTTACAATTTATTCTCAAGTTAAAACATGTAAAACTGAGATCACATTTAAACTTCAACAAACCAATGATACATGGTTACCAATTAACTTGAACTAAACAATCAAGTATTATTAAAGAGTGAACTCAAAATGATTTTACCACATGAAAATAAAAGCAACAAAAGATATTAAATATGTATTTACCTATGGATCCTACTTTATCTTTGAGAGTGTATGTCAGATATAATATTGCTTTTAAAATATATTTCTTAGAATAATCTTAATTATAACTAAACATTATATTTTAAAAAGTATAAAACTAAAATTATACTTTTTTTTAAATTATAAAAATATTTAGTCATAGTAAATCACCTACATATAATGATAAAAAAAAACAGCTCTCACCTTGTTACAGAAATTTTCCCTGATACATATATGGCTAAATATTTAAATTTTAAACACTACTGCACACACACATTTGAACACTTTTCATTTTTAAAACGCACCTTTTCTAAAAGTGTAAGACGTCTGCGACTAATGGGGAATAGATTAATTTCTTTCTTCAAGCTTGGTTTGCTTTGCTGAAGAGGTTGTGGCTTTGACACACAGGATGTTCCTGAACTTGGTATGGTTTTGGTATTTGATGATTTCAGTTCTGAGTGTGAAAAAAAATGTAACACTTAAAATATAATTTCTGAATATAGCTTCTAAAATTTCCTTGAAATGCTGAAAGTAGATTTTTTGAAAGAATATAAAGAAAATTATTTATTAACTAAGTTATAAAATTATTCTTATGAAAAAGCTCTGAAAAATACAAAAGTTTTACAAAATCAGTTGTCATGAAGTTGTATTATATAGTGAGCAGAGCTGGGCAATTAGAGAAATATTCTACATGATCAACTGTTGGGCTTATTAATCATTTACATTCAAATAATCAGTTACTCTCACATGAGACAGCTTAAAAAACAAAAAAAGGAATACACACACCATAACAATTATTGTTATATCAAATGGCTTATATAAATAGTTTTTTGTATCCTGACTTAAATAAGACAATGATAGTAATATGGATACTAAATTACAGACAAGACCATCAAACTTTGTGAGAAACTGTTGGTAAAACTTCTGTATCTAAATATGTATTGACAAGATACACACCCCTACTATTGCTATACCCTCTTCTAATTTTTGAAAATCTCTAAGGGACTAGTTAAGAATGTAGTGTGTAAAAATGAAATTGGATTAATACTAACATCTTATGACAAGTTAAATAAAACAAAAAAAATCATTCTAACAAGATGGTTAAAAAAATGTAACATTAAAAATTAGGTTTTGATATCTGCAATGGTCAAAGCATAGATAGCTCATTTTTTCCTTTGTGTTTAACAACAAACAAAAACAGTTATAATCAGAAACCCTGATTTTGATTAATTAATTACTTTTGTAACATTAATTGATTTGATTATAATTCCAATTACTAGATAGCTGAAATGCTAGTTGATTATTTTCATGACACTAATTGATGTAATCAATGCTTATAGGTAATTGATTATATCGATTAAACAAGTTAATCCCCTAGCTCTAATAGTGAGTATCATAGTTGCTTCTGAGTAGACAACAGTAACAATATGTACTGAACAAAAAGAAAACATATGGATTTGAAAAAATGCAGCTATGCCATACAATCACTTGTTGGGTGTATTTTTTGCCAAAGATAACATTTTATTAAATTACTTATATTTAACAATATTAAATAAAAGACTTTTTAAAACACACCAGTATTACGATAATCCTGCAAGGAAGCCAAGAATTATTTTGTACAATCCAAGCAACATGTACAGTAATGATATAATGTTCTTTATATATTAAAACAAAATGAAGGGGGTGAGAGTTCTATACAGATTATAGCTAGTTTAAAAGTTCTTCAAATACCTATAGAAT